CGCTTCGTGGCCCCATAGGGAGTTCTACCGAAGTCTTCAGAGGGTGCGTTCGCATGGCACCGCGGCGCCCATGTCGGCACACCCCTCACACGCTTCGTGTCCGTGGCCCCATAGGGGGGCTCCACCGAAGGCCCCAGTGGCTGCGCTCGCATCGCACCGCGGCGCCCATTTCGGCACACCCCTCGCGCGCATCGTGGCCCCAGAGGGAGCTCCACCGAGGGCCCCACTGGCTGCGCTCGCATGGCACCGCCGCCCCCGTTTCGGCACACCCCTCACACGTTTCGTGGCCCCATAGGGAGCCCCACCGATAGCTCAAGTGGCTGCGCTCGCATGGCACCGCCGCGCCCGTTTCGGCACACCCCTCACACGCTTCGTGGCCCCAAGGGGAGCTGCACCGAGGGCCCCAGAGGCTGCGCTCGCATGGCGCTACCGCGCCCATGTCGGCACACACCTCACACGCGTTCGCATGCGCCCACCGCGCCCGTTCCGGTACGTCCCTCACACGTTGCGTGGCACCATAGGGAGTTCCACCGACGACGATACTCACAATTGCGCTATTCACAATTTCATATGGTTGGGTCTTTCGCCAGGCTAATTGTTTGTCCATCGTTGTTTCTGGTTTGTCCTGCCTTCAAACAGCGCGCCAGAGCAGTCTGAACCGCCACAGTGCGAGCACGTCCTTGTGGACAGGGCCGTCTTGATGCCATGGCTTCCCAGCCCTGACCCATCCAACGATGGTCCACTTACACACACACACACACAAGACGCAAAGATCGCCACCACCAGAGCACTGAAGCGACGGGAGGTGTGTGGGTTGGGCGAGATTCTTAGGCTTACGCCACACCGCCGACCCCTTGTTTATGCCAATCTGGGGGTAGTAGAAGCTGCGAAGGGGTGAAAAGGCGAGTGATATTTGTTTGGTGTCTGTTCGCCGCCACCGCCAGAGGGTCTCGGGCAGTTCCGCGGGGAGGTCCGAGCGGACAGCGACACTGCGAGTTTTGGAGCCACTCGGGGGCCGTTTCGGAGCCTCTGGGGTGCTTCTTGGGGGTTCCTTGGGGCGTCTGGGCGGCCTCGTGAGGGCCTCTGGGGGCCTCTTGGGGCACTCTTGGGGCCCCCTGGGGCTCCTGGGGGCAGAAAGCTAGAGTTTCAACATGTTTGGTCGCCCTCTTGGGCCCCTCGTGGTGCCGTCTTGGAGCCCTCTTGGGCCGTCTTGGGGACCTCTTGGGCCGTGTTGGGGCCGTCTTGGGCCGTCTGGAGGCCGTCTTGGGGGCCTCTTGGGCCATCTTGGGGCTGTCTTTGGGGCCTCTTTGGCCGTCTTGGAGCGTCGGGAAGCCGGAAAGGCGGAAAAGCAAAAAACATCGAAAAACACTGGAAAATCAACAATTTTAGACTCTTGGGGCCCTCTTGGGAGGCTTGTTTGGGACCTCGGGGGCCGTCTTGGAGACCTCTTGGCCCGTCTTGGGGCCATCTTGGGCGTCTTGGAGGGGTCGTTTGGCGTCTCGGAGCCTTCGTGGGCCGTCTTGGAGGCCTTTTGGGGGCTTCTTGGCCCGTCTTGAGGCCCTCTTGGGCCCGGAAAAGCCCTGGAACCGCTCGTCCCGGCCGTGCTGCGCTCGTCCTGGCCCCCTCCCCGCCTCCAAATCGGCCCTCTTGGGCCGTCTTGAGGACCTCTTGGGCCGTCTTGGGGCCGTCCTGGGCCGTCTGGAGGCCGTCTTGGGGGCCTCTTGGGCCATCTTGGGGCTATCTTTGGGGCCTCGTCGCGCGTCTTGGAGCGTTGGGAAGCCGGAAAGGCGGAAAAGCAAAAAACGTCGAAGAACACCATGGAAAATCAACAATTTTAGACTCTTGGGGCCTTCTTGGGAGACTTGTATGGGACCTCGGGGGCCGCCTTGGAGACCTCTTGGCCCGTCTTGGGGCCATCTTGGGCGTCTTGGAGACGTCGTTTGGCGTCTACGGGCTTTTTTTGGGCTTGTTGGGGGCCTCTTGGGGGCTTCTTGGAGCCTCTTGGAGGCCTCTTGGGGCCTCCTTGGCGCCTTTTGGGGCGGAAGGCTAGAATTTTAGGTTCGTGGTCCCCGTCTGGAGCCTTTCTTGGGCCCCTCTGTGGGCCCTCTTGGACTGTCTGAAGGCCCTCTTGAGCCGTTTTGAGGCGCTCTTGGGCCGTGTTGGGGCCCACTTGGGAGCCTCTCGGGTCGTCTTGATGCCGTCTTGGGGGCTTCTTTCGCCGTCTTGGAGCGTCGGAAGCCCGAAAAAACGCGAAGGCCAAAAACGTTGAAAAAACCAATGGAAATCGACGATTTTGGCCTCTTGGGGCCATCTTGGGAGGCGTCTTGGAAGCTTCTTGGGGCGTCTTGGAGGCATCTGGGGCCATCTGGAGGCCATCTTGACCGTCTTCGAGTGTTTTTTCGGCGACTCGGGGCCCTCTTGGACCGTCTGCAGAGCTTCTTGGGAGCCTCTTCGCTCGTTTGCGGCCCCCCCAGCAGACTCTCTGGAGCGGATGACCCCCCCCGGACCGCGCCGGCGGATCCCGGGGAATCCGGCCGGACCCCCCCCCCCCCCCCTCCAAAACGACCGGACCAGGCTCCGGGGGGAGGGGTTTGGGGAGGGGGGAAGCATCTCACACGCCGATGACCCCAAGGGGTCGGCGGATTCGCATGTGAGCCCATACGGGTAGCCACCAGCCACCCCGCCGCGCAAATGAGCTTGCTCGAAGCATCTGCTGAACTTACCCGCGCTCTTCCTCATCGTCCCCATTCTTGCTGCACTTCTCCTCCCCACCCTTCTCCGAGGCAGAACCCGATGTAAACCTGATCCTCTCCCTATTGCTCAATCTAGTCATCGCCTCCTCCTCCTCCTCCTCCTCCTCCTCCTCCTCCTCCTCCTTCTCCTCCTCCGCCCCACTCCATGCGGTCAGGCCGAGTCGCCCGTCTAGCTGTCAACCATTAGAAGGGTTCCAGCAGAGGGCCTCCGCCTGGTCGCTGCAGGTTCGCTTGCGTCTCCCTCCCCTGGGCCCGCTGCCCCCTGCAGAAAGGCGACCACGCCCGAGGTCTCCGCATGCCGCCCCAGCGGGGGGACGCCAGCCAACCGGCCTGCTCCTCCTTCTCCTCCCTCGTCCCGCTCACTCTCTTGGCCGTCCCCCCGCTGCCCCTCGTACTCCCCATTTCCCTGTTCTCCGTCTTATCTTCCTCGACATTCTCTCGTGCTTCCCCTGTGCATCTTCGCGCTCATGTGCCATCATCCCCTTCATCCTCCGCGTCCTCTTCCCTTCGCTCTCCGTAATTGCTTAGCCGCTCCAGCTCAAGTGCGAACGGAATCATCTGCTCGACCGCGACTCGTCGCGCCGAGGCGTCTGGCCAGCCCCCCGTCGCGATGGCAGGGCCCAAGGAGGAGCTGGCCGTGGATGACCCGACGGCGGCTGCCGTCCCCAAACTGCTGGAGCACATCCCGGCGCCCTCCACGCCGCAGGACCCAGACCCCCGACGTCTTGATGTCTTCATACCGTCGACCCCCAGAGTTCTCGACCCCTTCCCCGGGACCGCTTCCCCGCCCCGGGCCGATGTTCCACGGCCCCGAGGCAACGGCGAGGGCCCCCGGAGGCCGAGAACAGCGAAAAGCCTCCCCCTCCTCCTCCTCCTCCTCCTCCTCCTCCTCATCCTCCTCCTCCTCCTCCTCTTCCTCCTCATCCTCCTCCCATCCTCCTCCTCCTCCTCCTCTTCCTCCTCCTCTCCTCCTCCTCTCCTCCCTCCTCCTCCTTCTCCTCCTTGCGCACCCCCTCCTTGGAGTAGATCTTGGCTGCTTCTGGCGCCTCTCTCGAGCAGCTGGGGATCTCCCCCATAGCACGCACGGCCCCACGCAGCGGCACCACAAGCAGAGCTCCGGGGCCAGACCCCTGCCCACCCTCCCCCCCCCCCTTCCCGCCCCACTGTCGAAACGCCGACTCAAAAAACGCCGACGCGATGCTCTCGTGACTCCCGAGGAGGAGGACGAGGAACGAGGAGGGAGGGGGAGGGAGGGAGGAAGTGGAGATGAGGAGGAGGAAGAGAGGAGGAGGAGGAGGAGGAGGAGGAGGAGGAGGAGGAGGGGAGGGAAGGACGAGCGATCCGCAACCGACCCTCTGTGGCTGCATCGGAGCCGCGGGGGTCCCCGGCAGGAGGCGCCCGGGCCCCGCAGCAGCCCCGCGCGCCCGCGCCGCTCTGGGCGTGGCGCGGTGGCGCGGCGGCTCCGCCGGCGCCCCCCGGCCCCTCGCGCCGGCCGCGGCGGCGCGCTCGAGGTCGCCGCCGCCGCCGCACGCCGCCGCCCGGCGTCGTCGGCGCCGCCGCCGCCGTCGCCGCCGCCGCCGCCCACGTCGGCGTCGTCGTCTTGGCCGTCGTCGCCGGGCGTCTCCGTCGTCGTCGGCGTCGTCGTCGTCGTCGTCGCCGCCGCCGGCGTCGTGTCTTCGTCGCAGCCGGCGTCGTCGTCGTCGTCGATCGTCGATCGTCGTCAGCGTCCTCGCCGTCGTCACGGGTGCTGTCGCCGCTCCGCCAGCGGGCCCTCTCGGCGCGAGGGGGCCCAGCTGGGGTGCTCGGGGGCAGCAGGAGGAGCAACATCGGGGGATACGGACTCTGGGGGGGTGATGCCCTGACCTTCCAGAGAGCTATTCTTTAGCACTGGAGGCCTAAAAACCTAAAAAACTAAACGAAACAGGCTAAAACCAGGACGCAGAATAGCTCAGGGATAGGTTTTTAGGTCGGGTGCTATTTTTTAGCCCTCCTGGAAGGTCAGGGTGCATCGGCCACCGATGGACCACCATCGGAGGGCAAGAAACGGCATAAACATGAACTTCTGGCGGTCCCGCGCGGATGCCTCTTCTCGGATTGCGCTGGGCCCCCCCGGCGGCGCCTCTGGTGCCGCCCTTGGCGCGCTCCGCGCGCCAGGGAGGGGGGTCCAGCGCAGATCCAAGAAATCTGCGCGGACCGTCAAAAGTTGATGTTTGCACCGTTTTCTTCTTCTACACCCGCTCAGGATCGATGTTCGAGGTCCGAGGCTTGAGGTGCTCGCTCGTTCTTGAGCCGCCGGAGGCTCGGGTTATGGCCCGAAACCCACCACGGGCTCAAGGGTGGAGACCTCTCCCACAATCGCCCAGTGATCGCCGATAGGGGCCTCATAGCCTTCCGCGCCCAGGAGCGCGGTGTTTCGCGATCGGGGGCCCAACGCCGACCTATCGGGCGATGCATCGCCGAGATTCTAGCTCGAGGTTTCCTCCCCTGAGCCGGTCCCCTCCTTGGGCCCACGTGCGCACACCTCTGGCGCGCTTCGGGACCTCATACTCAGACCCCCGACGTCATGATTTTTTCATGACGTCGACCCCCCGAGATCTCGACCCATTCCCCGGGACCGGTTTTTCATCCTGAGTCGTTTTTTGACGCTCCCGAGGGCCGGTTAGGGCCTCCAAAGGCAGAAAATTAGGAAAAACCGCCCTTCATGTTTTTTTCATGACCCGAGGGGGTCTGGGTAGGGAGCTCCACCGGAGTCCCCAGGGGCAGGGTTCGCATGTCGCCTCGGGTCCCTTCCCGACCCCTCGCCCCCTGACCCAGTGATGTTGGGCCGGGTGGTGGCGGCGGGGCGGCCAGGGCGCGTGGCGGCGCGGCTGCGCAGAGGAGGAGGGGGAGGGGGAGGAGGAGGAGGACGACGAGGAGGAGGAGGAGGAGGAGGAGGAGGAGGAGGAGGAGGGGGAGGAGGAGAGAGGGTGAGGAGGAGGAGGAGGAGGAGGAGGAGGAAAAGGAGGAGGAGGAGGGGGAGGGGGAGGGGGAGGAGAGGAGGGAGGAGGAGGAGGAGGAGGAGGAGGGGAGGAGGAGGAGGAGGAGGAGGAGGGAGGAGGAGGAGGAGGAAGGGAGGAGGAGGAGGAGGAGGGGGAGCAGGAGGAGGAGGAGGAGCGCAGGAGGAGGAGGAGTTGGAGAAGGCGTGGGTGGGGGTGGGGGGGGGGGGGCAGGAGTGGGGAGCAGGGGGGGGGGGGGGGCCGGCGACCCCGAAAGGGCGGCCGGGTTCGCATGGCTCCGGGTCGCTGCCCCGCAGGTGCGGGAGGTCGCGCAGCTCGGGGACGGGCACTTCCGGCTCGCGCGGGGGGAGGTTGTGCAGCAGGGGGACGGGTACTTCCGGCTCAGGCGGTGGGCAGCTCCGCATATGCCACAGGGCCGTCCGCTGCTGCCGTCAGCGCCTCCGAGGCCGGGGGAGCGGCCTGCGGCGTGGCCGCAGGACTCGTCGGGACGCAAGCGCACTCGCCGGGGCCAGGAACGCGTCTATAGGCAGAGTGGGGGTGCCGAATGGTGATTCATTGTCCTGGGTGCGTGGCTGAAGTGGGGTTTCGCGGTGCGGACTGTTGTTCGTTGTTGTTTGCTGTTGTTGTTATTTTTGTTGCTGTCGTTGTCGCCGTCGTCGTCGTTGTTGTGGTTGTGGATGTTGCTGTTGCTGTTGTTGATGTTGGTGTTGCTTTTGGTGTTGCTGCTGTTGTTGCTCTTGCTGTTGCTCTTATTGCTCTTGCTGTTGCTCTTATTGCTGTTGTTGTTGCTGCTGTTGTTGTTGTTGTTGTCGTTGTCGTCGTCGTCGTCGTCGTCGTCGTCGTTGTTGTTGTTGGTGTTGTTGTTGATGATGTTGTTGTTGTTGTCGTTGTCGTTGTTGTTGTTGGTGTTGTTGTTGATGATGCTGTTGTTGTTGGTGGTGGTGGTGTTGTTGTTGCTGCTGTTGGTGTTGTTGAAATTGCATTTCTAACGCATACGCCACATACGTATTGTTGATCCTCCCCCCTGTGACCATCGCATTTTTCCAAGTAAAATGATCATTTCAAGGATCCGCACACGGCATTTTACAAGGGAAAGGCTGGGGTCACCAACTTGGGCCCCTGGCCCCCGAGTTACAACAACGACAACAACACCACCACCACCAACAACAACAACGGCTCCTGCCTGATACGTCCTCACAGTGTATTGAGAAATCGCGCTCTCGCGTAGGACTTCTCGCAATTTCCAAACGCCGCGCCCTCGGCGCTCAGGAACCGCACTCTCGCTGTGGTTCTTCTTGCGATTCGCTTGGGAATTGCGGCAGGCTCTCTGTGCCCCCCCCTGTCGTGTTTCCTTGTCTCTCGTGGTAGAGTGCTGCGCCGTCGCCGCGCTGCCTCATGCTTCTGTGCCCTCTTTTGTGGCACGGCTGGCATCTCTCGGACGTGTGCATCTTTCCTTCGGCGAGGACCATCGAGGAGCATCCTTGATCATTCGGCAAAAATGCCACGCACGAAACCAACAAACGCACAGGGAATGGACGTCCGAGCGATGGCGAGGGCACACCTGGCAGGGGTTCCAGCCGCCTCTGTCTGTGCACTGGTTGCCTGGCTGCGGGGCGCTGAGTCCAACTGATCACTTTGGAATCGCGCCATCGCTCGAGCCCTCCCCGCGATCCCTGCAGGACGCACGCTTCAGAAAACCTGCCTGCTCGACGTGGCCGCTTGGGCCAGCCTCCCCGCCCCGCCAGTTATGGGGCCCACCCGCCCGATCAGTCCGTCTGGTTCTGCGACGTGTGTTCTGCTCCCAGCCCTCCTCCTGCTGCTCCCGTGCTCCATTTTTTTTTCCTGTCTACTCCGGATTCCATAATGAAGTAGGGGGGGTTACATTTGGCGGGGGGGTCTGATTTGAGCTGTCTTGAAGGGTTGGGGGGGTCTGGGCAAAGTGCCGCCCTTTCATGAATGGTCTGGGGGGGGGTCTAAAACTTGTGGTATGGGAGGATTGTGACCCCCTCCCTTTTATTACGAAATCTGGAGTATCCGTTCTCTCTTCCCCTGTTGTAATTCGGGGCTACACCACTTACACGTGGCAGGTAAGAAAGACAGACCACCAGAGGGGGCACAGTCGCAGACGAAGAGGGCGGGTATCCAGGGTTTGGGATGCACGTGTTGAATGGCACGCGACCAGCTCAGAGCGAACAGTCTTAAAATGAGTTGTCGCTGTTCTGGACGAAGTCGCATTCTGGAAGAAGAATTGTTGTTGATCCCCCCCACCGGTGCACATTTTTTTGTTCAAATGAAGTGGCCCCCTCTGGGCCCGCACAATGTTTTATTATTCGGGGAAGTCTTCATGCTCAGACTGTACCCCTGGCCCCCCGGCTACAGCAACAACGGCTCCCGCCTTGTATTTCCTCACCATGTATTCCGAAATCGCGCTCTCGCACGGGACTTCCTCACAAGTATGCAGGAATCGCGCTCTCGCGTGGGACCTCCTCGCAATGTATTCAGACGCCCGAGAGGTCCCCATGACAGCACCTAAGACAGCCAAGAGGTCCCCGTGACGGCCTGACTGCGACTAAAGAGAGCGTCAAGACGGCCTAAGAGGCAGCCAAGACGGCCCAAGAGGCCCTTAAGACAGCCCCAAGACAGGGACAAGAGCTATGATCCAAGCGGACCGTTCGAGCCCAAACGCTGAGAGCCCCAGCGAGGCCCCCGAGGCGCCCTCCAAAAAGTTCCAAAAGGCCACCAGGAGACCCCCCTGCAAAAATCAAAGAGGCGCCACCCCCCAGAACCCCCCAGGAGCCCTCCAAGAACGTCCCCCAAGGGCATGCAGAAAGACTCCCGGCATGCTTGTGCTAGTCTCGAAGGGGCTCTCGGACATCCCCCCTTTATGCTGTCCTGGGTCCTCCTCGTGGCTGCCTGGCAGGCCTTCCTGGAGCCTTCCTGGGCGCTTTCCCAAAACAGCCGGGGGGATTCGCCCTGCACGCATACTTCTAGCGCGAAGTCGTGCTCGAGTTCGCCTCCATTAGAAGAGTGTCAGGAGGAAAAGAAGCACACAGACACAATTAATTGTCGATTCCCCCGAAAATATAAGGAACATATGGGAAGTGGGGGGAAGACAAAAACCCAGAAAATATATGAAAATATTGGTAATATTTTTATTTGTGTGTATTTATTTGTGTGTCCCAGGGCCCCTTCAGAGTGGTCCGCGTCATCTGCCTGGTGCCGTGTGTCGTGCAGCATCAGATCGCTCCCCAGCAGGGCACAACACGCCCCAATGGCTCCCCAAGGCCGCGCCCAATACGGCTTCGACTGACCTTTGGCAGCACTTCGACGATTTGAGCTTCCCTGTATCATTGGCCCCCCCCAGGGTTGCCAGGGGGCCTCCCAAACACCGCTGAGATAGTTCGAGGAGCCCTCGAGACGCCCAGGAGATCAACAAGGCCATTGAAAACGGTCCACAGGCCACAAGTCCCTCGAAGCCTCTCAAAAGTTACGTTCGGGCAGCTGCACGGTGTATTTGCTCAGAGCAGCAGGATCTCGCAGGGCTTGCTTATTCAGCGACTCATGGAGCGTCAGTCAGGAAGCACGCTCCCGTATGGTGATCCCTGTGGGATGATGTCCATCCTCATCCGATCCTGTGAGGTTGTGAGGTTGACTTGGGCTGCCCTGGAACCTAAGCGCGCGCGAAGCGCGTGCGGGCTTCTGGCCGCAGCCAGTTATATCTTCAACCTTCCTCCCAGCAGATATCATGTTTTTCTTGTGCTACTTGTTGTCCAGCACGTCTCCTGGTCGCCCCTCGTCCGAGCGCATGCGCTGGACCATGATGCGACCCCCTCTTTTCGGAGCACCCGCCAAGCCCCCAGGGCCATCTTCGCAGCCGGGCAGCGGCCGGAACGTCGCCCGCCACCGCAGCGACGACGGAGGTGATCCCGCCCAGCTCGGCCGAGAGCGCCACGCTGGCGGGCTCCTGCCTGGACGGCAACGCGCGCCCGAGGGCAATCGGGCAGTGCCAAGGGGCGTCACCACTGGGGGTGTCACCAGATCCTCCTGGAAATCGAAGGTTTCTAGCGTCGAAGTTCGAGGGGGCGCCTGGGGTCGTCTCGGAGGGTTTGGACCACGAGGGCCCGTAGGCCGGCGGCGCGCAGGGGGAAAGGCAGAGGGGGCGGGCCGTCGCAGAGAAGGCTCAGAAGGCCTCCGGCCTCCTGGGAAGTCAGAGCCTCCCCCGAAGCCCCGCCGCTTTCTCACTTCCCCCCCATTGGCGCGGAGGGGGGCGGGCCTCCCCAGAAGGGAGCGGGGCTTCGGGGGAAGCTCAGAAAAAGCGTCCCTGAAGGCCCGGAGACCTCCTTGTCAGGAGGGGGAGCAGCACACAGACACAATGAATCGTCGACTCCCAGGAAAATGTGGGGAAATATTGGAGTTGGGGGGGTAAAAGTACAGAACATCTGGAGACCATAGGGAATCCTGGAGTCGTGTGTGTACTCATGTGTGTGTCCCTGGGCGCCTCTATTTGAGCCTTCTGAGACGGCCGGTCCCCCCTCTGCCCTCCACCCCATGGGGCGCGCCGCTTCCTCGAGGTTCAGGGCGCTTCCTCGGGGAAAGGGCCACCCCCTTCCCCTGACCTTCCAGGAGGGCTAAAAAATAGCACCCGACCTAAAAACCTATCCCAGAGCTATTCTACGTCTTGGTTTTAGGCTGTTTCGTTTAGTTTTTTAGGTTTTTAGGTCTCCAGTGCTAAAAAATAGCTCTCTGGAAGGTCAGGGTCCAAGACCCCCAGGCGCCGTGGCTGCTTCACACAGGCAACCCGCCGAGGTCTGGACCCCAAGGTGGGTGTCCTGAGGGCCCTTCCTCCTCCTTCCTGCGCCCCCTCCTCGTCCTCGTCCTCGTCCTCGTCCTCGTCCTCCTCCTGCTCCTCCTCCTCCTCCTCCTCCTCCTCCTCCTCCTCCTCCTCCTCCTCCTCCTCCTCCCCTGCTCTGGAGATCGCCTTCCAGCCAGCCTCTGGGCCCGACACGCGCCCGCCGCCCTGGCACCGCGAGGGCGGCCCGGGGGCGACAAGCGCATGGTTGTTTTCCCCTCGGTCTGGACCCCTTCCAAGGACCACTTGGTATCGCTCGGACGTGTGCACTTCTTCTCGGCGGGGATTATTAAGGAGCACCCTGGATCATCCTGCGAAAAAAAAACACGCACGAAACCAAAGAAAAATATGTGGAATGGACGCCCGAGCGATGGCCAGACCAGCTTTTTCACCCTGAGCCACCTTTTGACGGGCCCGAGGCCTGGCAAGGGCCCCCCACGACGCGAGGGGGTATGGGTGTGTCATGGCGCCAGCATCGCAGAGCGGATTTGATTCGAAAAACAACAGGAGCCTGGAGTGTCCTGGAGAATTTCGCTCCAGATGTCGAAGTGAATTTCGTGCGCCAGGAATGAAGACTATAAAAATCCGCGTGAAATTCGCTTCGTTTTCCGCTTCCCGTTTCGGGGCTATGCGTTGGCAGAACTCCACGCAGAAATCCGCTGCAGCTCGTCTGCAAGGTCGGTGCCATGAGGTGTGCGGGGGGCCTCCCCAGACCCCCGACGTAATGTTATTTTCGTTACGTCGACCCCCAGAGGTCCCGACCCGTTCCCCCTGACCGGCTCTGCATTCCTGAGTCGCTTTTTGACGCTCCCGAGGCGCGGTGAGGGCCCCCGGAGGCCCAAGATTTGGACAACAGTTTCCGCTCTGATTTTTTCATTGCCCGAGGGGGTCTGGGTCCTCCTCCCCTGACCTTCCAGAGAGCTATTTTTTAGCACTGGAGACCTAAAAACTTAAAATCTAAACGAAACAGCCTAAAACCAATACGTAGAATAGCTCTGGGATAGGTTTTTAGGTCGGGTGCTATTTTTTAGCCCTCCTGGAAGGTCAGGGTCGGCATCCCCCCAGGTGATCTCCGCCCTCCAGCTCCTGGAGGAGTCGGACGACGAGTCGGTCTTCTGCGGCCCGCCGTCGGACGCGGAGGGCCCCGGGCCGGGGCGGGCCCCGGCGGAGGAGAGGGCGCTGGCGGACCTCGGCATGCCGGGGGGGGGGGGCGAGAGCACGGGGGGGGCGCGCATACCCTGACCTTCCAGAGAGCTATGTTCCCAGACCCCCTCGAGTAATGAAAAAATCATGACGGAAGGTTTTCCTTCATTTTCGGCCTCGGGGGGCCCTCACCGGGCCTCGGGAGCGTCAAAAAACGACTCAGGATGAAAAACCGGTCCCGGGGAATGGGTCGAGATCTCTGGGGGTCGACGTCATGAAAAAATCATGACGTCGGGGGTCTGGGTACCCTGACCTTCCAGAGAGCTATTTTTTAGGCACTGGAGGCCTGAAAGCCTAAAAGACGAAACGAAACAGCCTAAAGCCAAGACGTAGAGGAGCTCTGGGATAGGTCTTTGGGTCGGGCGCTATTTTTTTGCCCTCCTGGAAGGTCAGGGATCGAGAGCCCATTGCACCAGAGAAAAAACCCAATCCGTGGATGGTTGGAGATGGGGTGGATCAAGAGATCGATGAGGAGATCGACCGGGAACCCGAGAACCGGGAGCCCACCGAAATCGGCCCAGAACCAAGAAGCAGGAACCCGGGAACCCGGAGCCGGGAACCCGGGAACCCAGCCGGCAACCAACACCGGCGGGAAAGGTTGCCAATTCTTGCAATTTCCGCTAGGACCCCTTCAGTGCAAGCACTGATTGGGGACTATATTCTAGGCCTCCTGGATGGGGTCGGAGTACGTGGGGTCGGAGGCTCGCGCCGCATCGCCGATGCATCGCCGAGGCGGCTGGATGTGGAGCCTGATTTGCTTCACGTCGACGTCGCCGATGTATCGCCGACGTCGGCGACGCGTCGCCGGCGCATCGCGGATGCATCGCCGGCGCATCGCCGCTGTGTCGGCGATGCGGCGCGATCATCCGATCCCATCTAGAAGAGGACAGCAGTGAGACACCGCTGCGTGGAGCCAGTCAGCGTGAGACTCGGTCGCTTCTTGCCCCGACGGCCTGGTGCTTTCTTCCATCGTGGCTGAGGAAGGAAGCACTACACATGGTTCATTTCTAATTATTTGAAAGTTCTTTGATTTGGGGGGGGCCAAGATACTTTCAATTCTAATTGATCTATCCTGGGCCTCTTCCTGGCCACTAGGGGGCCAGGAACAATTTGAAACGAGCATAATTTGAAATGAGCACGATAAGACATCAACGACGTGCACATAGACATCATAAGGTCCGAAGTCCGCGCGGCTTTCTTGGATCAGCGTTGGGTCATCCTGGCGGCGCCTCCAGCGCCGCCCCCAGCGCAAGAAACCCGCGTGGACCTCCGAAAGACAACGTCTGCTCAGCTGCTTCTTCTTGCAGTCGCTCTTGTTCGGAAGCCGGGTGCTTCTTCAACAGTAGCGCGCTGTCGGGTGCTCTACGGTGGCGAGACATCGATATTGGCTGGAACTTTGTTCTGACCATCGCACGGGGCGTCATCCTCACCCAGGATTTGTGGTCCCAACCGGCCCCTCTGACTGACCCTGTCGTTTCGTTTTTGTGGTGTTGTCCTCGCAGAGCAGGGGGCCCCGAGTTTTGCACTGCGGGCGCCGCGGAACAGATTTGTTTGACGACAGAACGCTAGGGGCTCCAGCCAGAGTCAGCTGCTCTTTATCGACCATTGGAACGGAGACACGATAAGCAACAAAAAAACTCACAGCGTCGAGCACGTGAGCCGGCCTGTGGCACATCCCGAAGTTCCTCACGTTCTGAGGGTGCTCTGGCTGCCCCGCGGCTATCCCCCTTCTTTTCCCGGGGCTCGCTTCGCTTTCTCCGACTCGATCCGACTCGATGTCGATGGCTTCTGATTCCGATGTGATTCGACTTGGGATTCCGATGTTGGCTCCGATCTCTGATTGGCGGCCTACGAGCAGGCCGATCTCCGCCGGTTCGACGTTTCGACTCGATTCTGGGCTCTTCTGCCTGTTCCTTCTGTCAGAGCGTGAATTACCTCCCCCGCTTTCGCTTCCAGGCAAAACCAAGCCATACCACGCGCCTCACTCGTCAAGCGGCCTGACCAGTACAGGCCGCAATTTGGCTTTGTTTGGTATCTCTTGGAGGCAAGGGTGGTCAAAAGCGAGGTAGGTCTGTTTTCCCCCGACTGAGGGCCCTTCCTCCTCCTTCCTGCGCCCCCGTGGGCTTCTGCTCTGGAGATCGCCTTCCAGCCAGCCTCTGGGCCTGACACGCGCCCGCCGCCCTGGCACCGCGAGGGCGGCCCGGGGCGACAATCACATGTTTGCTTTCCCCTCGGTCTGGACCCCTTCCAAGGACCACGTGGTATCGCTCGGACGTGTGCACATCTTCTCGGCGGGGATCTCTTGGAAGCAAGGGTGGTCAAAAGCGAGGTAGGTTTTCTTTTCCCCCGATTCTGCCGCCCTCGCCCTTGTGCCCCAACATGCCGATCTCCGCCGGTTCGACGTTTCGATTCGATTCTGGGCTCTTCTGCCTTCTCCTTCTGCTGCCCTCGCCCTTGTGCCCCAACATGCGCTTCGGACGCGCCCCGCCGCGTGCTCCAGCGCGACCGCCGCCTTTCTGCTGGCCCCAGCTCGCCGTTAAGACAGAACAAGCATGTCCGTGCTGAGTGTAAGTCGGGCCTGTGCCTCTACAGGAGGGAAGGATACCCAGAAATAGTACAACAATAGTATTGGGGCGATGTTGTGATCATTTTTTCGTCATCTTGGGGATGTATTTTCTCCTATTTGTGATTTGTCGCAGGCGCCTGCCCCCCTACAGGAGGAATGTTCAGAGATAGTACAACAACAGTATTGGGGCGATGTTGTGACCATTTTTTTAATTGGGGGATATATGTTTTCCTATTTGTGATTTGTCGCCACAGTCCGCCTGTAGGGGGACATGCCCGACCTACTGCTGAGCTTTGCTCCCCCCCCCCCAGGAATGCTGAGCTCTGCTCCCCCTCCCCCCCAGGCATTGCGCACCCAGACGACGAACGTGCGCGGCGTGAGGCCGTGATGGACGCACGGGCCGCCGCCAGAGCCGCCTGGGCCGCGGAGGCAGAGGTCGCGGAGCGAGTGCGCCGCTGCATGCGCCCGAGGGTCCGGGGCAGCCAGAAGGGGGAGGATACGCCCAGGAGGGGTATGCTCAGGATCGAGGTTCGAGGTTCGAGGCTTGCCGGCGGCGAGCAGAGGGGGGGGAAGGGATAAGGAGGAGGACTTCTCAGAAGGCGGCGGGGCTTCTCAGGAGGCCTCTGGCCTTCCGAAGGGTTTCCTGTGACTTCGGGGAAGTCTCGAAACTTTTTGTCAGAAGGCCAGGGAACTTCCGAGCCTGCCGAGAAGGCCCGCCCTTCTCCGTTCCTCTCCCGGCTCGCCGCCGCGTTTGAGGTTTTGGGGTGTCTTCATCGGCCCTCGGCGGTGTTCAGGAGGGGGTATGCTCAGGATCGAGGTTCGAGGTTCGAGATTCGAGGTTCGTCGGCGACGAGCAAGGGGGGGAGGTGATAAGGAGGAGGCCTCGGTGGTGTTCCAGCCTCGGGGTGCCTTCCAGGAGCTGCGCTCTGACGAGGGCCTTCCGGCGGTGCGCAGGTAGTCCCGGACGGCCGCTCGAGGGCCGAGCTGTGACCCAGAATAAGCCACCACGGGGTAGGCTCGGGGGTGCTCGGCCCCCCTGTCGCCCTTTCATCGCCGATAGGGGCCCGGCAGCCCACCCCGCACAGGACCATGCGGATTCGCCATCGGTGCCGATCGGCGATGTATCGCCGATTCACGATCGATGCTCCTCCCCCTATAGGCTGGTCCCCCCTTCACGTTGCCCCTCCGAAGGGGGATGTGGCCGGCAAAGGCCAGAAGTTCATATGCCGCTTCCCGATCGGGCTCGAAGACAACGTGGAGTTCGGCCTGGTGAACAAGATTCTGGGTCGGGGTGGGATCAACATGCGCAGTATTGCAGAGCATTGTGGTGCCAAGCTGCGCCTCCGTGGAATCGGCAGCGGTTACCCCGAGCCTGCCACCGGCAAGGAGGCGAACATGCCTCTGGAGTTGGAGGTCAGTTGCACAGATTTCGGGTCGTACTCTGATGCTGCGATTCGCGTGGCCCGACACCTGCAGGGCATCTACCTCCAGTACCGCCGATACGCACGCGCCAGGGGGATGCCGCAGCCCGACGTGAAGGTCACTTTGGAGGAGCTGCGCCGAGACGACCTCCCCTGCGGCCCGTCTTCTCCGGTGCCGACGGCCGGGGTCTGGTGGCCGCCGGCTGCCGACGAGCCGCCGGCCGGCCTCCTACGGCCGGTGCCCAGCAGCGCCTCCCAGCAGCAGCTGCCGCAGCCGTGTGGGCCGTCGCTGGCCGCCCGCGGCGCCGCGCCGTCCCAGCCGCGGGCGCCGCCGCGCGCCGGAGGCAGCCCCCCGACGTAATGATTTTTTCATGACGTCGACCCCCAGAGGTCCCGACCCTTTCCCCAGGGCCGGCTTTGCATCCTGAGTCGTTTTTTGACGCTCCCGAGGCCCGGTGAGGGCCCCCCGAGGCCGAAAATCGGGAAAAACCTGCTCCCGTCATGATCTTTTCGCTACTCGAGGGGGTCTGGGGAGGCAGCCCCGAGCGCTGGGCGCCGCAGGGCCCCGAGGCGGCGGCGACGGCCGCCGGTGCGGAGGGCGCGCGGGCCCTGCCGGCCGGCGCCGAGGCCCGGGGCGCAGGCCTCCGCGGGGGCGGCGAGGCCCCGCCCGCCCCCCGTGCTGCAAGCGGCGGGCGCCGCCTCCGTCCGCGGCCGCCCGCGGCGGGCCACCGGGGCGTCCAGGGCCCGCCCGGCGGCGCCAGGGGGCTGACGGGGTTGGACAGACCTCCTACCCTGACACGTCGATTGAGGAATGGGCCGTTTCCGGGTCGCGAGAGGGCGTACGGCGGCCGCCATTTGTGCGGGTTCAGGTCCGTCGGTCTCTGTCCCAGGCCGTTTTCACCAAGGGGAGGTTTACCCTGACCTTCCAGAGAGCTATTTTTTAGCACTGGAGACCTAAAAACCTAAAAAACTCAACGAAACAGCCTAAAACCAAGACGTAGAATAGCTCTGGGATAGGTTTTTAGGTCGGGTGCTATTTTTTAGCCCTCCTGGAAGGTCAGGGTACTGAAGGGAGGTTTGTCCAACGCCGAGGCTGCGCTGGGTGCCAGTGGGGAGCAGGAGAGCCACCGAGGCCCACGCGGGTGGACCTGGGGCCAGCAATGTGCTTCGCGCCGGCGTCTCGCGCGCGGTCGGGGTCCCCGGCGAGGGAGGCGGGCGGTCCGGGCCGCCGGCGGCATTGCCTGGCGAGTGGCGCGACTCGAAGGGTTCGCAAGGTAGAGCGATGTGATTTCGACGGGGCCAGCACCGTGTGCGTGCTCGTCATCAGACCAGACGGGAAGACCGTCCGCAGCCCCCGCGTGATGAGGCAGGCGCCGCACGGGGACACGTGGGGTTCCCCGGCGGCATAGGAGCTCGTCGAGCTCATCTCGGAGGGGCCAAGAAGGTCCATTGGAAGAGGTCAGGGGACTGCAGAGTCGGTTTCGCGTGGAGGAGACCGCCGCCTCCACCGACCTGTAGTCCGCCCCTGCTGTACATACACGAGCGGCCCCGCCGCCCACAGGCTGGGCAGCGGCGCGGCCCCGGTGGCGCACCACGTGCGCAGCACGTGCACGGTCCTGTGAGGGCGCGCACGGCGGCGCATAGTCCCCCCCCCCCCCCGACTGGGGCGCCTGCTGCTTGCGCCAAGGCTCGGTGCCAGCGCTCGGCCAACGTGCGGCCTGGCCGCCCCAGAGCGCCTGCACGGTGGGCTCGTGCCGCGCCGGTGCGGCTGCGGCCCCAGCGCGGGCGTGGCAGGTCAGCGCGCCGCCGGTGGCCAAGCATCGGCGAGCACGGGGCGATGTGGCGATCGAGCAGCGGGCGACTCATGGAGGCTTGAAGGTCAGCCACGCGCAGAGGAGGGGAGGGGGCGAGGGCTTCTTAGAAGGCGCGGGCCCTATCCATGGACCCAGAGATCCAACGCATTGAAAAAATCAAGACGGAGGCTTTCCTCAAATTTCGGCCCCTGGGAGCCCTCGCCGGGGCTCGGGACCGTCAAACATTTACTCAGGATGAAGAACCGGTCCTGGGGAATAGGTCGAGACTTCTGGGGACCCCATATTGAAAAAACACAACACTGGATCTCTGGGGCCGTAAGGCTGGCGCCTGAATTCTAAGAAGCAGCCTTCTTTCGAAGAAGCCATCCCCCCCCCTCCCTCCACCCCCTATTGCCCGCCGCCATCGTGGAGGCTTTGGAGGGTCCAAGCGGCGTCAGAAGCCTAGGGACACGAGCCCGCCGCACCTCGATGGCGTCGGCCGCCGGTGTGTCCGTGCGGCGGCCACGGCGCCCTGTCGCCACGAGGGCCTCAGGATGCTGGCTGCCTGCAGGTGAGCGACGCAGGAAAACGGTGTCGACTGCGCCGACACTGGCGCGCAAGCTTCCCGCGTGAGCTCGCGCGTCAGCACCCTCGTCTCCACAGTGGCGTGTCGCGCTGGCGGCCCGCGCGCGCGGGGGAAAGGAAGCGCACCACCACCACAACCTGGAGGATGGAGGCAAACGGTGGTCACGGGTGGTGATGGTGTATATCGTTTCGGTCGTTCTCGAGGGACATCTTGCAAACCCGTATGCCGCACACCAGCTCATCTTGAGTCCCCCCAGATGGTGGTGGTGGTGCGCTTCCTGCTCCCAAGTAAATGAAGTCGCGGCGTAAGGTCAATGTCATCTCGCGTAAGACATTTTTCTCCTCGTCGCTCAGACGTGCATTCTCTCATCTCTGCTGCGGGGGTCGACCCAGCTTTTCCGACCCTTCAGGCGCGGCTCCGCTCAGGAGTTTCTCGGCTTGAACGGCCCGAGGCCCAGAGAGGCCCATCGTTCCCGTTCATCTCGCTCGGGCCGTGGGAGCGGGGAGGAGCGCGTGCAACAATGCAAGGTTCGCTGATGTCTATGCGTGAAAATTGTGACGGCCTTATCTCGTGCCCCCGCCGCTGCCCTACTGCCGTCTGAACCTGAGCGGGCGCTGACCTGAAGAAAACGTGCAAATCGCCCGCTTCCTCGCTGATGGGAAGGGGGAGTGGGAGTAGGAGGAGGAGGATGAGGAGGAGGAGGAGGAGGAGTAGGAGAACGAGAAGGAGGCCAGGGAAAAGGTCGGACAGGCACAGACCTTCACTTTGGGCGAGTGGATTAGCTTCTTGCGCGGATCCCCAAATTCCAAACTTATTTTTGCGACATCGTCTTACGTATCGGTTCGCCCGCCATTCGAGGGGGCTGATTGCGCCTGTCGGATTTGCCGGGGCCTCGACGTCGCTTGCCAGTGTCAGGATGGAATCAAGTTTTGCGGCTCACGAGTGGATTGGAGGACGAGCGCAAGGTGAGTCTTTCACCTGCGGGGGGGCGCGGGCGTTTCCCGCCACGCAGGGGCCAGGGGCAATTGGGAAACGCTCAGGGAATTGGAGGGCGGCAGGTCGAGGAAGAACGAGGGAGGGGGAGGAGTGCAAAGCAACGGGCGGGAATGGGGAACATAGTGACCAGGCGACATGCTCTGATAGGGGGAGCGATGTGTGCGGAGGTCGCGGTTGGAATTCCTTCGGATAGCCTTGGGACGTTCAGACACATCCGCCCGGAGGCGGGTAGGGGGTTCAGCGGCCCTTGCCTTCATGAATTTGCGGGCGGGGCGCGACGACGCACCCGACCTGTACCCCGTCTCTTTCGCTAGGTGCCGGTCTGTACGTGCTCGCCCCGCGCGAGACATCCAGCACGTTCAGAATTACACTTAGCCAGGCACTAGGTGTAGTTATGTACGTGCTGGTTTCGCCGGAGACATCCTCGCAAAACGGAGCACTTATAGAACTACACCTAGCCAGCGGGGCGGGGTGCATGTCGGGTGCCGCCACTCGCGCGCCCAACGTGTACCGCGCCCTGGCCGTTAAGTGCCGTTCTGTGCGTGTCCTTTTTTCGCGAAGCATCGGCTGTCCGCGCTGCCCATCGCCGAGGCCCCGTCCCATGGGCCGCTTTCCACCGACATCCCACATCCCCTGGCTCAGCGAAGCCAGCCGTATGCCTGGGGGCCTTGATTTCCCGCAGCCCGCTTCCCTTTCCCGCTTGTGCCCCAGCAGCAAATCCGCGATTCGATCCCCCGCGCTTTCGAGTTCTTCTTCGTGCCGGATTTCCCGTCCGAGGGTGAAACGCTTGTTCGTGTTATGATTTGTCGTGCGGCTGCCGCCAAGCCTCGCCGTGAAACATGGTGATCGCTTCCACGCTTGGCACGCAACGTCGTCGGCACGACCATCCCCTTCCATCGTAGGTCGCGAGGCGGTGTCCGTCCACCCAAACAGACCGACGCGCCAAATCTAATTGTGATTGCCACCCCTGGTCCCCACAACAAGGTGCAGTTTTGCTGCTTGTAGTTGTAGATGTGTTCGAAAAGGACAGGACAGAACAAGACATCCGCATAAAGGGGGTCAATGTCAACACCTACAAAGTAGCTGTGAGCGCGACTAGCAAAATCCCATGCGATTGGAGTACGCCGCAGACCCAGGCTTCTCATGGGGGCTGACAGGGGGCATGCCCCGAAGCTTCAAGAGACGAGCTCCGAGGTGGCCCCGCAAGAGAGGCTCGCTACCTTGTGAGTACGAGTCTCTATGGGTCAGAAAGGGGAAGCAGCTGTTGGCCCTCTCGCGTGCCCATGACAATGGAGACGCGCTGGGCGAGCAGGGCTCCCAAGCAGGGGGGGAATGAGCCAGGGAAAAAAGGAGGAGGAGAAGGAGGAGGAGGAGGAGGAGGAGGAGGAGGAGGAGGACGACGACGACGACGACGACGACGACGACGACGACGGCAACGGGAAGGAGGCTGTGCATGCCCGCCGGCGTTTGGCGGCGAGACAGCAGCTCTCGCCGATGTGCGCCACGGGAAACAAATCAAGTGGCGACCGCCCAGGAATTTCTTGCTATTCGAGCCTTTGCAGGGGGACCTAAGGCCTAGGCCTCGGAGCCAGGCACCCTGTGGTCTTCTCTGACGATGGGGGGGTACACCCTAGCCGATGCTTAAGAAAACCTAAGTTTTCGGCCAGAGTCTCGATTATTCTTAACTTTTCAATGTAAATCCAAAGATGTTGATAGAAGTTCTGGGTTTTATTCAAGTTCTGAGACTATGAATTTCTGAACCCATGATTTCTGAAGCATTTCGCAGGGTGTATTCATTTTTTCCTGGGTTGCCCACTGGCCCTGGCACACACATCGACCAGCCCCCCGTCGGCAGTCCTCTGTGTGTACACTGCGTCTCGTATTTTTTGCGCACTGGCATGGAGAACTGGGCGTGGAGCATCTCGAAGGTTGCTGCACGCAGCCCACTCATCAAACCACGCACGAGCGACGATCATCCTGAACAGC